CCAAAATTTGAAACTATTAATTTATTGAATAATTGTTGAGTGGGTGACCATATCTTGACTTGGTTACAATCCTTATCTTCTTATCTGAACAAAACGTCATTGCTAATATCAGAATTTGAACAGATTGTCCACATGAAAATTCTAGAAAATTATCTCAACTTTCTAACAAAAAAAAATGAGGTTATTCGGACTTCTAGAACTCGAGATATGGGCAGAATACTAAATAGTGTTGGGCTATAGGATAGATTTTAACTTTTTCCATTGTTGTTACAATTTGAACTTGAAAATAACCTTTTTGAATCTTAGACTCTTATGAAAGTTTTAGGCCTATGTCTTAGCTTTCAATACATATAGAGCAAACCTAAATCCAAGTTCTACAGCTCTAGTTATGACCCAATAATCGAATGGTGTTGCAATTTGGATTGAACCAATATCTATTTTCTAAACTTAGCCCTCTCTTTGTCTTTTCACTTTCAGTACTTAAACTCATTAATCCCTTAATTTATGAGATAGGCCTGCATTTTAGATGAATATTTACTATAAATTAAATGTATCTTATATTATTAGATATGTTATTATAAAACATGCTCTAACTAAGAAGTTACTGATACTTCAAGTGCAAAATGATGATATAAAACCTTGATAAAAATGCACTTTTAAGTACTAATCAACTATGATGAAGATACCAAGTATAGGAGCTTGCTTCATGTTATAGAGGGAATTATAAAGCTAATAAACATTTTGAGGATGAGTTGGATCATTAAATCCATATGGTTGTTCTATGACTTCCTCCTATAAAACACCATTTAGAAAAGCATTGTAAACACCCAACTGTTGAACTAAATTTGCATCTTTAGTTAGAAAAGTCAAGGCACTAGAATTGAAAAATAGTAATCAATTAAAATCTGTTCAAGACATTGTGTGTCAAATCTGTGAAACTAATGAACACCCAACCAATAACTGTCCAACTTTGCCTTCTTTTAAGAAATGTCTCTATAAACAAGCCTATGTTTTAAACAGTTTTCAAAGATCCAATCATAACCCATACTTGTAAACATACAACCCTAGTTGGAGAGATCATCTAAATTTTAGTTGGAAGAGTAGTAACAATAAGGCACACACTTCACAACCACCATTTCAAGCACACCATAATTTTTAAAATTCTCATAGATTTGTACCTTTTTATGTTCCCTCTCCTAGAAGACATTTTGAGGAAACTTTGTATGAATTCATTAAAAAGTAAAAGACAATCAAAACTCAACT